ATATAGTTAATTCTTGTTGCTATTTCTACATTTGACTATGTATATCTTTGTTCTATTGGGTGCATTTCTTTGTATATATCATAAAAGTTTTGTTGTCTTATTCAATTAAATATTGGCAGTTTTTAAAACTTATAGTTTGTGAATTCTGCTTATCTAGTATATTGTCTACAGTATGATTAAAGTTATCTATAACAATAACTTGTATTTGTCTTTCTTTTTTTATAATAGTCTCTACTATTTTTTATTAAATAATTTTTCCTACTTCTTTGTTATTTGGTGGTATATAAACTCCTATTACTATTAGCTTTAATTGCTTAAAATATAATGTAATTTCTATTATGTATTTATTTATTCTCTTGACTGTGCCTATATGCTTTTCCTAGTGTTTTTTTAGCAGGATTCCTATACCTAATCCTTTTTTTTGTCTTCTGCTATATTACTTCAATATCTAATATTTTTTTTGTTGTCTTGTAAGTTAGAAATTTTTCTTCTCTTTTTATAAGATTTGTTTTTATAACTTCTAATATTGCAACTTCTTCCTTTTTTGCTCAGCTGAGCAGGTTTTTGAGCTTCTAACCTTTGGTTTTTAACTTATTAATATTATAATATACTATTTTTATCTCTTTCTTTCCTTTTTTTTATTTTTATTTTAATTTATTCTGTTTTATTTCTATATGTTTTTCTTTTCTCTTTTCTTTTCTGCTCTTTTCTCTTTCTAGACAAGAAGGTACTATTTTTTCTTCAAACATTTCTCTTTTTTTTTGCAAAAGTTCTTTAAACTCCTTGTTCATTTCTATTGCTTCAACTATAACAACTTCAAAAGTGATTGGCAGGGTCCCTCTCTGTCATCTCTCTTGCCTCTTCTAATTTTTCCAATTTTTCTCAGATTAAACCTAACATGTCTTTTATATATGTATTTTTCTTTTGCTTATATCTTGTTTGGTCTTCTAACTTCTGGTTATAAGTATTTCTTCTTTCTTTTATTTTCAATTTATAGTTTTGAGATCTTTTCTTTCTAAGCTTTGTTTATATATATTTTATTTTTCTGTTTTCTCTTTTTGTTTTTGTTATCTTTTATATCTGAGGTTTGGCTAAATTTGTTCCAACTTCTTCATCTTTTGTCTATTATGCTTTCTTTTTTCTTTGTTTATTTTTTTCTTTCATTTACTAATATAATCAAAAGTTGTTAAACATAATTGGTTTTGACTAAGCTGTCTTTATAGTTTTCTTAGTCACAAATATAACTATAGCTATTCTCTTCTGATTTTTATTTCTGTTTAGTGAAATATAAACTGACTTTACTTCTTTACTTTTTAAATATCATAGAAGTAAAACTTCTTAAGCATTTCTAGATAACTCTGTCAATTTTGCTATATATTTCTTCTGATCTTCTTTTGCCTCATAGTTTTTTTTCTTACTGTCACTTGTACTAATTTATTGTTATTAATTGATATGGCCCATGGAATACCTCTTTCATTTGTTTTTTCTATCTGCACTATAGCTAAGACTTTGTATTTAGATTTTTTAATTTCTACTATATGAGCTTTCTTAAATCTTCTACAAATATATTTTAGCTCTTTTTTGTTTATATCTGTTAGTAGATCTATATCATTAGATGGATCATATTTACATAATTCTCATCTGCTTTATTTTGATCTTCATATACATTTGTCTTGCTTTCTTTCTATTCTTATTTTTTCTTTTCTATTCTTGGCATGTTACTTCTTTCTTGTTGCTTTTTTTTTGTTATAGCTTCTATATTTTTCTTTTTGTTTTCTTTTTTTTCTTCTAGTATCATTTTATATCAATCATTTTCTTTTTTTGCTAATTCTTTGTATTGTTTTATTTTTGCTATATTTGCAATTAAAGTTTACTTCTATTTATAAGTTTACTTTTTTGAAAACTTTTTTGATGTCTTTAATATGTTTATTGTCTTTTAATAACTATCTGATGAATTTAATTCATTTTTTAGTTGTTTCTTTTAGAATATTGTGTGCTAGTATATTGGCAAGTAGGTTGTTGTATTGGTTGCAGTTTCTTTTGCTTGACACTCACTTGCTCTTCTCTAGTGGTTCTTTTGCTATATTGATTTTTTTTTAATTTCTTGTTTCATTTCATATTGCTTTTCTGTTTTTTCTGTTGTTATATTCTGTTTTAATTTTTTTCTATTTGTATCTGCACTTTTTTACTTGTTCTCTTCTATTTTTTTTTGATTTTACAAGACTTATTTTGTTCCTGTTTCACTATTCCTATTACTAAAATTTACTTTTACAATTTCTTCTTGTTGGACTGCTATGCTAGTTTCTTGTATTGTCTGCCCTCTTTATATCTATATTTGTTACTAGTTCTTGTCAAATCTCTTGAATTACTTTTATTTTTGTAGTTTAAGATTGCTCTTTTGATTTATTATATGTTTGTTCTAAGGTAGGTTCTATTATTAGTGCATAGTTACTTTGCTCTACTATGCTTAACTTCTTTTCTAGCTGCTCTTTATCTGCTTTTTCTATTAACTCTTTTGTTATTTTTAATAGTACAATTTCATCTAAACTCTGCTCTGTTAACATGATGACAATTTTGTTTTTTCTATTAGATGTTATATATGTTTTACCTGCTTATTTAAGAAACAGCCTATTGTGCATACTGTTAATAGCCCAGTATGCTTTTTTGATATATGTTGTTATTAAGCTATTATTACACCCTTCTAATGAATTCATATTTCTAATTTAAGTTGTATACATGTATGTTTTGTTTGATTTGTATATGATTGATTTGCTTATTTGTTTATGTTCTTATAATCAAAACAAATTTGCAATACAGAGTTAGTGCCAATTTTTTTTTTTTTTTTTTTTGTTAAAGGCCATACTTGTGATGATACTTGTAATGATACTTTATTGACTTTATATTGAGTTAGCTATTACAACTATTTTTACAGAGATGAGAGTATAACTAGTCACATGTGCAACTTTTGGTTGCCTATTTAAGTAGTTCACCCTAAGGTTCTACACTAGGTGCCATACCTATAACCTATTAGGAAATTATTCATTTAAACCCTCTGATCATCTGCCCTGTCATATTGGAATCCCCAACTAACCCCCTATATATACCTAACTGGTATACCATCTGAGCAGTATGGTACTTACTCTTTTTGTACTAGTTTCTAGGCTATTACTAGGGATTGGAACCATTATTTATTTAACCGCCTATAATTATTTATTTATGTTATACAGTTAAATGAGTAACCAATTTTATAAACGGCTAAAAACTGTTAAATTATTCATTTAATCATTTTTTAAATTTTATATGATTAATCGTTTAATGATCATTTAATGCCTCACATGGAGACAAACATAATAAATAGCATATATGTATATACGTACATATGTTGTTATGATATTTTTCATAATAAATTTTTTATGTTTATATATTTTTGCATAATATATTTATTAGTAATATCAATTACTATACCATTATATAATTATTTTCTTACTAATTAAGGGATTATATAAAAAGGATTATTGATCGATAAATCTTTAGAGAAAGCGAGTTCTCTTGGTTTTTTAGTTTTAGTTTTAGCTTTTAGTTCGTTAGTACTTTGAGGGATCGTTAGTGTACTGGGTACACTGAAAAAGATACTTACTTGTATTACCTACTATTTTGTATTTTCATATTGAAATAAAGTCATTAGTTCCATATTTTTATGTTCACAATACTGAATTAAATTGGCTAAGATAAGAAGTTGCTCTCTTAACTGTAACAATGTATATATCTTATGATCTTATAGAAATTCGTCTCCGATTTTATAACTAATTCTTAGAAGTAAACAATCCTACTATTTTTGTGTTCTGTATCTTAAGTTAGAATTCTTTAAAGCAATCATCAATATATTTATTTTCATTTATTTATTTTTGTCAATTTTCATTTTCATAATTTATTTTCTTAAAACCAAGTGCCAACATGTATTTATTATCTTTTGACCATCTAATTGTATATAATTTTTAAACTTAAATACTTTATTGATTTACAATGCAATGCTTAATAAATATGCAATAAATAATTTAAATATAAACATTTACTTTCTTTAGGAAATCTGATAAATTCCGAGGACTACAACATTTCTTAAGATCTACTAAATATGATGGTATACATGATTATGTGTATGCTTTATCTTTATATGCCTATCTATTTAGATTGCCGAAAGTATTTTACCATTTTTTGAATGTTGCCTAATTTATCAAAAAGAATCTATTCAACCATAAACCAAAATTCTTTAATGCAGTCATCGACACTTTTATTTCTATTTACTCTAATTATTTGAGTATCAAACGTCTGGCACCAGGTTTTAAAGTATAATATTAAGTTACACTTGGTGCATTTTTATTCTTATAGAACTAAAATTTATTCAATGCTAACATACATTCAGTGATGGTTATGCTTCTTATTTCATTCTTGCCAATTTTTCAAAGACTGCTTATCTAATACCAGGCTTTTAAATAGAAATACCAATGCTCATTTTTATGAATGGTACAACCTCCAAAAAATTTAGATTGAATACTGAGATCGGATTTGTGATTAGAATGAGTAAAATTTCTTATTTTTAATTGGTGCTACTTTTATAATATCAATAAACAGGGCCTGATCTTCGATTTAAACACCTATAATAATTATGTTTATGTAGAAGGTATAAGCCCAATACCATTTACGCTTATGGCATTTCATCCAACTTGTAAACTTAATAAAAAACACCAAGAGTGAAGATTTAACATACCAGTTTTAGGTGTTACTGCTGAATGATCCAGAGTGTGTAGTCAAGGCTTTATAATTTTCAAGTACAATGGCTTCTTTTATCATAATATTACTATGACATAAACATGACTAAATTACTTTCAAAAAGTTATATTATTCACCAACTATGAGTAGGTTATTTTCATCGTATAAGAGATTCTAGTGGAAAGCATATAATTAGTTTTAGCACAAGTATCCTCATGAATGACTACATCAAAATGGCTGCATCTTCAAAGCCAGAGATGTTAATTTGCCATTCACTTGACATTTGCGTGCCAAGAAATGACTACTTCAGCAAATGTGCAATTAGTAGTGCTGCTGCTCCTCCCATATCAAGTAACGAACATAAAATTATGACTTACCCAAATAAAAGTAGAGATGTAAACATGCAATAAGAAGAATGAAGTATAAGCAGTACAAAAGTGCAGAAAATAATAATATAGAATGATAATATAGAACCTAATAAGAATGGTAACTGGTAAATTATTATATTAATAAAATTCAGCAAGACTTGCATAAAAAATTCTTTTATAAAATTTACGTACCAATTCATAGTATAGAGATGACAAATTTTTAGGTTTTATATTATTGATTGTTCATGATCTTTCGTATTTGGTCTCTTTTTTTTATCTTTGAATAAAATAAGGTTTCGAATTTAAAGATTAGTGCATTCGATTTTGGTTATTATTAAACACATTAATATAAAAGTTTAGTAATCAATAGAATTTAGTTATGGGATAATTTGATATATATTTCATGTTGTAATGAACAAATTAAGTGATCTTATGTATTTTAACTTTTAAAGAGAAAAATTAAAATATAGAAACTGATTAGTAGGATAATAAGTCTTCGACCTATTACATTACTCACTCTCATCATAATATCTTTTATCCTATATTACCTTTAATAACAACTGATCGAATCCATGATGTTCAAAATGTTTAAAATTTTATATTGCAAGTATGCAGTGATAATCAAATCTTAAAATCAATTTCTTGTGATATACTGGTATGATCATTGGTAATGATACTAAAATTGAAATTTGTTTTAAGAGTATAAACCAAAATTGGAATTAAATATAACAAATAAAATCAAACCTTAAAAAAAAGTTAAATCAACTTCCTTTCGTTTAAGATGAATAATATTCAGGATAGTGAAATTTATGAATTAGAAACTAACAGTGAACCTGACATTAATGATAATAACAGTAGTGAAATAGGGTCTTCTTCTAAATCATTATTATCTGTACTAAAAGACAAAAAAACTACTGGTTTACTAAAAAAAAGAAAAAAATGCAAACTCATAGCTGAAGCATGGCAATATTTTAAAATAGAAGGAAATTTCGCAGTATGCCAAGTTGAACTAACTTAAGACGGAAAAAAAAAAAATGCGAGCAAAAATATGACTGTACTAATTTAAATTCAACAACATCAATGAATTATTATATAATACAAGAACATGATATAGTCCTCAAAAGTCTGGCTAAAAAGGTATTATTTAATTTATCATTAGGCTATACAAACTTAATAAATTGGTTCTCACAATCTGGCCAAGTCAAATTTAGCAAAATTTTTTAAAAAAATTTGACTATATTTATTATCTGGGTGGACTTTTTCAGATATTTATTAGAATCAAAAGCCAGGTTGTCAGATTATTTTTAAATTTTATGTTACGAGAACCAAAAAATTTGTATGATCTTATACTTAATAAATAGATTTACATTATCCAAATTATTATAATGTTGTAATAATAGGTGGAGAAAAAAGAACAAGTTACACTTGAACAAGTTATAGATAACGTAAAACTGCATAACTCGAATAAACAACATGAATTACAAGCAGCATGTACAGAATAGATTGTTATGAATTCTTTATCTTTTAATACACTTCGTGGAAAAGGATTTCAGCGATTTATAAAAAAAATTGATTCACGGTTTAAACTACCATCTAATAAAGAATGTAAAAATTTCATTGCAGCGGCTTATCAAGATAAAATAACCAAACTTCAAACGAAACTTAATGAAACATGTGAATATGCTACCATTACCACAGATCTTTGGACCACCAGATCTAAATTTGGATATATCGGTATTACGATTTATTGGCTCATGCCTGATTTTGAAATTATTGATATGCTTCTTACTATTGAACATATGCGGTATCCCCATACAGCCAAGAAAATATACGATTATATTGATAATAAAATAAATAAATTTGGTTTAAATAAAAAATTATTTCTAGGGGTCACCGATAATAGTTCCAATATGAAAAAAGCTTTTACCATATGGGAAGATATTGAATGGTTACCCTGTTCTACTTATACACTTCAATTATCAGTAACAAAGAGTTCAAAAAAAATTGGTTCTTATATAAAAAGGTTCAAAGAATTGGTAAAATTTTTACAGAGTCAGTTAAACAATCTGAACAACTTGATGTGGCACAAATAGATCTTGCACGACAAAATCATATTCGAGAAGAGGATATTGAAATTGTTCAATTTAATCAGTTATCAGCTCTTGATATAGATGAAAAAATTGGTTCAGAAGAAGAGGATTATGAGGATAGAGAAATTGATGAATCTACAATAAAAGTATTGCATAATATCACTGATATTTGTACTAGATGGAACTCTAGTTACTCTTCATGAACAAGGCTCTTAGAATTAAAAGATGCAATAACATAGTTAGCATCCGTGTTGCCCTTAAAGAAAGAAAAAGAAAATAAAAAAAATGGCCAAAAATTGTCTTAGTTACTATTAAAAGATTATGAGTGGGATCTGTTAAAGAGAATTGTTGATGCATTAAAACCATTTGAACAAGCAACAAAATTCTTTTCAGAAAGCAAGTATCCCACTCTTTCACTAATATATCCCATTATTTGCGAATTACAAAATAAATTTATAAATTTTAGTTTAGAATTAAGTAATGATAATGAAGATAGCAATAATGAGGATGATAAGTTTGTTGTCGATTCTATTTTACTAATGTGACAATTAATATTTAAAGTTTGTGATGATTAGTAATCATTATAATTATTAATTGCTAGTAGCAGTAGATTTTAAATATTAATTATCATGCTATATGATGTTAACAACTCATTTTTGTTTAAAAATCTACTAATTACCATGCAGAGATAAGGTGCATCAGTGTTAAAAAAATTAACAATAGGCTGTGCAAATTGCACAAAAAATAGAACATTTATGTATAAAAAATTTTTTTGCACAGCATATTTGTGCCGAATTTTCAACACTGAGATGCATGATGCCTATCTCTACTGCTAATTAGAATCGAATGCAAAAGTCGAATATATTTGTCTAACTTCTTTCAAATTAATTAGACATGTTATTAGATTCTGAAAATGATGACGACACTCATTCACATGCTCCATCGCCACTACCCGATCTTGATCAAATAGAAAAGCAATTTAAAATTGCTATTTCTGACTCTTTGAATAAATATTGGCTCGATTTTCATGAAGTTGGATTGGTAGCTACCCTTTTAGACCCCTGAACCAAAAAAATGACTGCGTTTACAAATAGAGAGTGAGAAAAGGCTGAAACAAAATTAAGAAATGAATTTAAGAATTTACAACATATTAATATTACTAGCAATGATTAACTAGTGTAACAAACATCAATGTCAAAAGCTACTGAAATAATGCAAAATCTATTTTTTGAAGATATTTTTGAAGTACAAGGTCAAGAAGATACGCCTTTGGATGAGGTGGCATGATATCTGAAGATTACCACTATTACTAATGCCAATCCTTGGAAATAGTAAAATGATTATAAAACTGAGTTTCCAATTTTGTCATTGTTAGCACATAAATATTTGTGCATACCAGCAACTTCTGTCCCATGTGAGAGACTTTTCTCAGATGCAGGAAACCTGATTACTCCCCAACATACACGATTAAGCTCAAAGACTATTGGAAAAATTCTTTTTTTTAAGCGTAATGCTGAACATTTGAGTAGATTTAAAAATTATGTATAATTTTAGATTCAAATGTGATTTTTTTTTCACATGCTATTCTCAATTTTTTTAAATAATTTGCAATAGGCTTAATTAAATAATGATTTAAAAAAAAGTTATACACTATCTAGGCTGAAAAAGTCGAATACAAAGATACCAAGATAATTATTTCTATTGAAGGAATGTGCTATGAAATTGTTATAAACAAAAATACATTTTGTTGTAGTTAAGAAGGTTAAAGGTACTGATGGTGGATATAATCCTATTGGATGGGATAAACTAGTTGGAAAGGGTTTTTACAAGAATTGCAATAATAGCTTGACTTTTTTGATGAAAAATGGTACCATTCAAAATCCTATTTTAAATTACGTAATATAACTAGAACATGCAATTAGCTGTTATATTCATAATGTTCCATGTTTTGGTTATTGCGGCATGATATTATCAAAAAAGATCACAAAGAAAATTTATGTGTTATTAAAGGGATATATAGGTAGCGCTAAAAATTTTTAGTGAATAAATTTTCAAAAAAATTTTTTTTTATGCATTCCTCTGAAAATACAGAAATAAAGATTAAATTGGAATAAATTGAATTGTGAATTTGACCAATTAGCATTAGCAGTTTAACAATAATGTTTTCTATTTTTATTTGTGTTGCCAAAAGAAAACATGCATATTTATATATAGTCTATATAAATATGCATGTTTTCTATTTTTATTTGTGTTGCCAAAAGAAAACATGCATATTTATATATAGTCTATATAAATATGCATGTTTTCTATTGGCAACACTCATTGTATCTTTAATAATCTCCTAACATAATATAAATAAATAATACAAGTTTTAGACATTAATACTAGATCTTGATAATTATTGTGATATGAATACAGTTAGATGACTAAACTATAAAATGATTATTAAATGATTAATAAATAAACAGTTAAATGGCCAAACAATTAAACAATCAATAAACAGTTAAAATGGCCAAACAATTAAACAGTTAATAAATAGATAAATGATTAAACTGTGAAGTGATTAATAAACAGTTAAATGATTAAATGATTAATAAATGATTATACGATTAAATAAACAGTGAAATAATGAAGTGATTAATAAATGGTTAAATGGTTAAGTAATTAATAAGCGATTATACGATTAAATAAATAATTAAATAATTAAGTGATCAATAAATAGTTAAACGATTAAGTGATTAATAAATGGATAAACGATTAAACAGTTAAACGATTAATAAATAATTATACGATTATTAATCATGTAACTTCTAATTAGGTGACGTGATTAATTGTCAGCATAATTTTCACAGTTCCAAACCTTAGCCATTACACATTTCAGAGTATGTCATCTGCCAGTAAGGTGCAGAGGGCCCCCTGTTGTTAACTATCTACCTATTTTTAGAATACTAATACAGACTACCCTTGCAGAGTTCACTTAGACCTCAGTACTGACTTTATAGCATATCCCTAGTACTTTTAGTATACCCCTGCTTTGAACCAAGACTACCAATCCAGATAGCCTAAAAGGACTGTAATCTGTCCTTGATATATTGAGGCTGATTCAATATCCTTTTTCTCTGGTTTGAAATCTGGCGCCTGGTTGGTAGTACCCCTCACCTGAGGTTCTTGTCTGCCCGAATCCTTCACATTGGTATCCATTTCCTAGGTTTAGCCTTTACAGTAGTACCATTGAAGATTCATGTTACCTCTCTGCTTGGAATTTCCAAGTAGGCTCTGGCTTCCCAGTTCTATGGATTTATATGGCCCAAAGACTTATTTTAGGTTTGCACTGCCCAGTACTGGTTTGCATTCCTTTGTGTAGCAAGTTACACAGATGCCCCAGACCTGCCAGTCATGCTAGTGTGACCATAGTTACAGGTATCCTATCCTAACTGATCGATAGAATGCCATTGCCATAATACTATCTATATATTACATAAGTGATTATCCAAATTTCGCCATCAGTAGGTTTTGAACTCACAACCTACTACTTGGGGGTATGACAACTTATCCACTTCACTAAGTCGCTACACCCTAGTGCCAATTTCTTAAAATTTTTGGTTTTTAAGTATTTTCTTTAAAATTTTTTGGTTTTTCTTGTTTCTTTCTTGTTAATTAACTTATTTTCAACTGCTTTTTCTTTTTCTATACCTTTTCTGAATGCTCTTTTTTTTAACTTAAATCTTAGAATAGTTTAAATAGCCATTTTGTATAAATTTAGTTTTTACTTCTTACCAAATTTGTGTTTAAGTAATTAGTAATAAGAGTATTATGTGCATTTTATAATATAGAATAATATTTAATAAGATTTTAATAAATATTTTAAGAAAGATATAAATCTAAATAAATAGGTTTAATATTTTATTAGAATACCATTCTGCTTCTATGATTACATTTGTTATATCAATTTTATTAATTATTTTTAGATACACTACTAAATCTTTACTCTCAAAGTTTTTAGTTATTTTTAAACTTCTATGTACATTTTATTTAAAAGTGAAAGAACTTGGTTTAATAATGATCTTGCATTATTGCTATCTGCTAAATTTATTCTAAATTCTACTTATATATTTTTTATTAAAATATGTATAAGTTTAGATTCAATTGATTGATTGCTTGTCAGATAGAATGCTAAAAGAAAATTTATCTTTTTAAAAAAATAGCATTAATAAATATAAGATAGACTATAATTTAGACAACATTGCCTAATATGAAGTAACAAATGAATATTTAATGATATATGTGTCAGATTATAATATTTTTTAATTAAATGTATTATGTTTATTAGCTAATTATATGTTTTATTTATATCATTTTGCTTAACTATTTGGTTTATTAATAAATTGCATATATAAACAAAATTAAAAATGATTTCTTTATCTTTAAGATCTAATATATCTTATATGCAAGGAATAGTATAAACTTGGTAGAATATTCTTTATTAATCTAATATAAATCAATTAAACTCTTTTGATCTATGTGTGACTTTTGATGAAATATAACCTATATGTATTAGCAAGAACTTTAATATTTGATATATATTTTTTGATTGTTAAAAGTTTAATATTATCAAGTTTATTATGATTAATAAATATTGTTTTATTATTTACTTGTTGATACCTAAAAATAAACAATGCATTAGATTAATTATTATAAATTTAACTGAATTAAAATATTTTAACTAATATAGTTTTAATAATCTTACTTCTATATCTTTGATATATTGTTTATATTTATTTTTATTTGTACAATATAACTATTGTTTTGTTATATTAAATATTGTAAAATAATTACAGAATTAAACTATTTTTCTATATTTTTAAAATTACTATAATAGTTTTTTTTAGTATTAGAATTATATTTTGAACATATTAAGTAATAATAATATTTAACTATAAGACTTGTATGATCACAAATCTTTCTTGTAGCAGAAACATTATTAGCTAATAATATTAATGCTATATATATCTTTTGTCTTTTATTATGTTTAAATATCATTAGTAAACTAAGTAATAACTTAATAGTTATACAGAAAAGAAGACTAAATGTTAGATTAGATAGTACTTAGATAGTATTTAAATATATAAGAGTTATGAGGCTTTTTAACTAATATAATATAAATTTAAATAGATAATCTTTTAGCAAATTACAAATATAACAATTAATATAGAATTTGTAAACAGACTACTTAAATAAGTAACTAAAAGTTGTATATAAGACTAGTTGTATACTTTTTTTTTTTTTAAATATTAATGAACTAGTTGTATACTTACCTTATACAAGTTATATATATAAATATATAATTAAAACACAATAAAAATAATAGCTATTAATGAACATTAGCCTTAGTAAAAATAAAAATAAAATTTAAGTTTAATTTATAAAAAAGTTAGCAATATTAAATTAGACTAAAAAAAATACAGAAACTAGTTACAAATACAAAAATAAAAAACAAATTAGTACAAACAATAAAAAAGATCTTTAAAAAAAATTTTATCAATATATATAAAGTTTTAAACTAAATTAATAAATAAATTATTAATCCTCCAAGTAATAAGTTGAGTGTTTAAAGTCTATTAATAAGAAAATTTGGATAATCACTTATGTAATATTTGTATTATAGCAACTGTTACTAATGATTGGGTTAGGGACTAACAGGTCATAAGGTATTTGTGCAATATTGAAATTATACAGAGAAATGCAAATCAACAACTAGGCAATACAAACACTAGATAAATCCTTGTGATTGTGTAAATCTATTGAAATTGGATAACAAAAAGTCTATTTGATAAGACCTAAATAGAAAGATAACCAGATTTTTGATAGTACTACTGTAAAGACTAGCTTGATAAAACAAATACCAACTAGACAGATAAGAACCTTTAGGTTAGAAGTTTCAGAAGTACTACCAATTAGATCATCAGAACAAATTAAAAAAAAAAATATTAAACTGATCTAATATATTGATAAACTAGTTATAGGTCATCTGAATTGAGAGTCTGACAAAATTTAAGAATATACTAAAATACTAGAATTATACTATGAAGTAGATGCTAGAATTTAAGTAAACTTTACAAGAACATAACAGTTTAATGATTAAGTCCTAATTATAAGTATTGGTTCTGCTATAGTAATATTTAGATCAACTATAAAAATGTATACAAAAAACTCTGAAAGATTTATCTCAAAGATAAAATAATCCTAAGGTTGAGATGATAATCTAAGCATCTAAGTATAATCTAGTAAGTTAACACAGATTACAGGTTCAGAGAATTTAAAGTGAAACACCCAAACAGAGATGTTAGATATAGCAATTAGTTGAGAACCTTCAGGTGAACTTCTTAAATAGGTAATATAAAAAAGTTATATATGTAGCCAATTGTATGCTTTTCTGTAGTAGTTTATAGAATTACATTACCAGAAGTCATTAATAAAAGTCAAAAGACCAAAGAGGTCACCTTAACACTAAAAAATAAATAAATAAATAAATAAATAAAAAAAGAAAA